GAGAGTGCAATGCAAATATACAACAAGCCCCACTAACAAATATTTTAATATAAAATAATGGGGTACTTAATTTATCAATTTAACCAGTTTAAATTGACCAGAATCAATTTTCAACTAAATTTCACCGTAGGCTCTAAAAATTATGCCAACCACAATGGCGTAATCGATTTCGGGTTCTGTGGCCGATAAGGCCCTCAATTTAATTCCCAAAGTAGTTTACTCAAACAGATATTCCTACAGTGAACAGATAGAATTACAAAATCACATATCTTCACATAATGACACATAAAGTCATGCTGAACACATAATCATATTCAAATTAAGGACCAATTTAGCATATTACGGAACAGGGGCACTTTTTATGTGGTGACCATCAAACCATGGTGTACGAATAGAATGCGACTTCTTTTTCTAAAAAAAAAAAAAATAGAATGCGACTTAGGAAGACAAAATAAGAAAAATGAGTACACCATTCGGCCACACATTGTGGACTATATCCTACTAGAAAATTTATGGTGCATAGTTGCTACCTAATTCAAATAAATTAAATTAAATTAATTAAAGATATTTTAAGAAATCAGAAGTCTAAACCCAAAATTTACGATGAATGGATCAGATGCAAAATGCACGTCATGATATTAGGATATCTCTAACCTTGTTCATGACAATAAATAAAACGGCAAATCTGCTCAACACACTCACTACAAGAAAACTGGGTATATGAGACGGAACTATTTGCGACGGCACACTTGCCGTCTCAAAAAGTCACTTTTTGTGACGGCAGAAAATGTCGTCTCAAAAAAACAGAGTATTTGCGACGGCACCATTTGCCGTCTCAAAAAGGCAGAGCATTTGCGACGGCACTATTTGCCGTCTCAAAAAATGAGAGTATTTGCGATGGTATTTTCTGCCGTCGCAAATACTCCCATTTTTTGAGACGGCAAATGGTGCCGTCGCAAATACTCTGCTTTTTTGAGACGGCAAATGGTGCCATCGCAAATACTCTGCTTTTTTGAGACGGCATTTTCTGCCGTCACAAAAAGTGACTTTCGTGTTTTTTTTAGTGAATATTTTTAAAATTTTAAATATTTTTTTTAGATGTACCTTACTTAGATGTATCTAAAAAATAAAAAATTTATGAAAAAATATTTTTAAAAATTAATAAATACATAAAAATACCAAAAAAAAAAATGTATTGAATTATGGTATTTTTTTTGTATTTTTGGTATTTAGTGAATTTTTAAAAGATTTTGGTGATTGTGGTTTTGAGATAGTTTCATATATATACAGTCACAAAATGATTTGAATAAATTTAACGGTATTTATCGAGAGATGAATCTGATTAAAAAAACAATGTCGTCTTACTCTTTTGATATAACATTTCTCTTTTCATTCATTTTTTCATCTTCCTGTCTCTCTGTCTCTATCTCTCTTTCTTCTCTTTATCTTTTTTCATTCATTTCTCTCTATCTCTATCTCTCTCTCTTTCTATGTCTGCCTTTTTCTCTCTCTCTCCTTTTCTTTCTGTGTCTCTCGCCTATCTCTCTTCTCTCTATCTCTCTCATCTGTTTTCTCTCTCTGTCTCTCTCGCTCATCTCTCTTATCTCTATCTCTCTCATTTCTTTTTTTTCCCTCTCTCTTTCTCTCTCTCTTATCTTTCTATCTCTCTCTATCTCTCTCGCTCATTTCTCTTCTCCTTCTGTCTCTCTCTTATTCTGTGTCTCTCTCTCGCTCATCTCTTTTCGCTCTATTTCTCTCTTTTTTTGTCTATCTCCCACTCATCTCTTGTTTCTCTCTCTTTTTCTATCTTTCCATCTCTCTCTTTCTTTCTCTCTCTATCTCTTTTTCTGTTTATCTCTCTCTCCCTGTCTCTCTCTCACTCATCACTCTTTTCTCTCTCTGTGTCTACTTGTCTATTTGTTTATTTCTCCCTCACTATGTTCGACTTGCTCACTCTCTTACTCCTATCTTCTCTATTTATCGAGCTCCTTCTCGATTTATCGATCCACTATAAGAAAATACACTTTTAGCAACCACTTTGTCTATCTCTCTCTCTCGCTCATCACTCTATCTATGTGTCTCTCTCTCTCTCTCTCTCTCTCTCTCTCTTTTCTTTATCTGTCTCTCACAAAATTAAAATATTTTTAAAATATTTAAATATTTAAAATATTTAAATATTTAAAAAATTTAAAAAATTGATTTGAATTAAGTTTTGAACAGAGTTTTGAATTATCTATCTTCTTTATTTATTGAGCTCCCTATCGATTTATCGATCCACTACAAGAAAATGCACTTTTGGCGACCACTTTGTCTCTTTCTGGCTCATCACTCTGTCTCTTTATCTCTTTTCTCTATTCGTCTCTCACTCATCTTTCTCTCTCACTACCCATCTTCTCTACCACATTTACCACTACTGCAAATGCCATTCAACTACCACCACTCTTCTCTTTCTCTCTTTCACTCATCACTCTTATTTCTTTGTCTGTTTGTATATCTATCTGTTTGTCTGTTTGTCTGTGTGTCTTTCGTTCATCTTTCTTCTCTCTATCTCTCTCATTTGTCTTCTCTCTATGTCTCCCTCGCTCATCTCTCTTCTCTCTATCTTTCTCATCTCTTTTCTCCCTCTGTCTCTCTCGCTCATCTCTTTTCTCTCTATCTCTCTATTTTTCTATTCTCTCTATCGTTCATCTCTTTTCGCTCTCTTTCTATATGTCTCTCTCATCTCTTGTTTATCTCTATTTTTCTATATGTCTCTCTCTATCGATTTCTCTCTCTGCCTCTCTGTCTCTCTCTATATCTCTTTCTCTCTTTATCTCTCTCTCGCTCATCACTCTGTCTTTCTCTCTCTTCTCTATCTGTCTCTCACTCATTTCTCTCTCTCACCACCCATCTCCTCTACCACCTTCACCACTACTGCAAACACCATTCCACCGCCACCATTACTTCTACTGTAGCCACTTCACCTCTACGACTACCATTACTACTACTATCGCCACCACTCCACTACTACCACTACCACTACTACTACCATTACCTCTGTTTCACCCCTACCACTCCATTTACACTACCACTACCACAACTTCACCACAAATCTGTTTCGCCATCACCATCACCACCGCCACCACCATCATCTCTTATCCACCACCTTCACTACTGCTGCCGCTCCTTTTCCTCTACTACAAAAAATTAGTTCATGATTTTTAGTAATAAAAAAAAATAGACCGCAAAAAAATATTTTTTATTGACTACAGAAAATTAACTTTTATTTTAGTGAAAATATTTTTCATTAAAATATATACGAAACAAATCAACCTTAATAACGGAAAGAAAATAAAAATTATTATTTATTTATTTTTATTATTTAAATATTTATTTATGATGAATTTTTTTTTCCCCATCCCGCCCGCTCGGTTCCCCCTATTTTTTCCATTCCCGCGCCCCAAAATCCCCAATCTCTTTAGAACAAAAAAAAAAAACCCTAAATCTAATCGTCTCCCTCACATCACTCTCTCAGCTCTCTCTCTCTCTCTCTCTCACCCTCTCATTTATCTCTGCACCGATCTCGTTCATCTCTGCACCGATCACTCTCTTACTCTCTCGTTGCTCATCTCATCGATTTGCACCGATCATCGCACCGCCGATCTACTCACAGGTAAACTCTCTATCTCAATCTCTGTCTTTCTCTCTCTCGGCCCGATGGTTGTTTTATATATATATATATATATATCAGATATATCTCTGATCTAATCTGTCTCCCTCACTCTCTCATCTCATCAGATCAGTCTCATCTCTGTCCTTTCATCTCTCGCCCCGATAGACTCACACTGCCTCACAGGTTAAGTCTCAAAAACTCAAGTGAACTGTTTACTAATAGTTTATCTGTAAGATGTGCCTAAACAATCTGCCATTACTCTTCCTTATTTGTTGATTTGTCACCATGGAATGAGACTGTTGTGTGAAGATAGCTTGTTATATTAGAAGAAAAATGCTACTTCCATTTACTTTTGAACTATGGAGACAACATCAATTGATTAATTGTGAAATTGATGGTAAAATGATTTTGATCTCACTCCCATTTGGAAATCTGTTTATATGGCATTGCCTTTCAGGTTTCATAGGTCTCTTGTTTTTCCATATTTTTTGAATAGCAGATTTTGGAATATGAGTCTACCTTCATAGAACAGTGTCATGCACCACTCACTTTAATTTAACATTGTCCAATAATTTCTTTTCCATTTAAATGATTTTCTTTTAAAGTTGCCACTTCTCTTTGCATTGTATGAGTAGTTATTCTCACTATTTTAAACTTACCATCAACCTCTCTTTTAGTTATACTCCACCCTCTTGTAATTCCACAAAAAAGTGTGTATTCAAATTAAAATTCTTTTATGATCCATTTGGTTCATGAATTTAGTAAAGGGAAAAGTAAAAGATAATGCTAAGGAAATTATTGTTCCTTGTTTGAAAGTATGTGAGGAATTTTTTGTTCCAAGTATAATTTCTTCTTCTCCTCATTGCACGAATTTTTATTATTACATGAAAAATGTCAATCTAACTTTGCTTTAAGTAGGAGGGAAAACACGAAGGATAAAGATTTTCCTTTCCTTTTACCTTACTAATTTCAAGTTCCAAACAATGCCTTGATAAAATTACGAAATTCCACCGTATTTCCCTAGTAGATGGAAAGAATGTAGAGTGTCAAATAAATTAGTTGGTTTTGAGGAAGACAAACGTAGCTTCAAAAAAGAGGATCCCCAAATGAGGTGTTAGCTACATTGAGTGAATATGAATACTCCTTTCCTCGAAAGATGCTTTTAATCATTCTCATGTTTTTAATGGTTTTCAAAGGAGTTTCTTTTAGGTGTTAGCTTAATGCAGTAGTATGCATAGATCAAAACTCAGTTGCCATCTTCATTTCACATCCTGTCAACTGCAGAGTCTATTCACCAAACGGAAGAAGTTGCTTTATGTTATTCTTACATTGCACTAGAGAGAGAGAGAGAGAGAGAGAGAGAGAGAGAGAGAGCAAGATGAGTGGTGCAGTTCTGGTGGCTGTTGCTGCAGCAATGGGTAACTTACTACAAGGATGGGATAATGCTACTATTGCTGGTAATTTATTCTTTCATTTATTTTTACTCTTTTTATTGTTTTTTACTCTTTTTGGAGTTTCCTCAATACTTTTTTTTCCTTCTTTTTCATTCTTTTGATTTTCTTGTGTGATTGTACTTAGGTTGTGCCCCCTCTCTACTTTATCTATTACAATCTTCTTTGTTGCTTATCAAAAAAATAATAAAGTGCTTCCAATAGAAGTGTTTCAGCAAATCAATTTGTCAAACAAAATTTTCATTTTCCCAATTTTTGAGAATAGAATATGAAAACAAAAATGATACCAAACACACCCTGAATTTTACCAGTACTATAGAAATTCACACCTATAAATATCTATCACCTATTTCCAAGAAGTCGAGAAACTTTAATGTCTCAAATCATAAATAAATTGTTTTAACAAAAAAGCCACTCAAGTAGATGAAGTTTTAGAATTGATAAGATGAGATTTTTTTATTGTAGCCTTGGACTCAATCTACTCCTCCTTTGAAACCCTTATTCAGTGAGGACTAAACTAGGCATGCTTTCCTTGGATCTCATAGAAGATTGTTCATGTCAACACAACTTAGCTGAAAATAATTTTCTATGCGACTATCACCCCACATTTCTTGGGTAGAAGATGAATCTTGCATTACAATTGATGTTCTTTTAGAAATTTTGATCATATAAAAGATTTAAAATAAACAACACTGTCAATTGGATGCATCAATTTGCACGTAGTAAAAAACAATAAATTGACTTCAAATTACAATTCCATCTAGTTTAGGTCCTAATTTGAATAAATTACATCAATTTTCAAAATGATTTATACTAAATACATACACAAACAAATGATTTTCTTGCATGGACTTTGTAGAGTAGAGTAGACCCAATGGAGGATTGGGATGTTTTGGGATGTTTAGAATTGGACTAAATGGGCAGTGTGTTCAAACTCCTTTTCCAGTGGTGACAACTATTTTAAGGTTTTCATCAAACGAACAATTATATGTAGAAAATAAAAATTTAATTCCACTCATACCTGTGTGGAGTTGCCCCTGCTTCTATAGGAATCAAATTTGCTCCACAGAAGTGAAGGTTTTTTGGTGGAATTCCTCCTCATTATCTGTTTACTTTTTGTAGGGTTTTGATTACTTAATCATTTGTTGCATAACCTTCTCTTTCAAAATGATGCATATGCTATGTGGGCATAAGCAAAGCTTTGGCATCCACATGCTAGTTGGGCTGACTGAAAAATTAATTCTTACTTTTCCAAGATAAGGAAATGCAGTAGTCTCAAATGTGTCTGTCAATGCACAAATTCTGCCATGATGCTGATTGGTGAATGTTGCTGTTGCCTTAATCATCCAAATTTAATAAAATTTTACCTTGTCATCATCTTCTTTAAATTGATTATTGATGGATGTGTGAAAGATAGGATTAGAAATGAATATATGCGCGAAATGGTAGGAGTACTATCAGTTGAAGATAAGTTGAGAGAGAATATGCTAAGATGATTTAGTCATGTATAACAAAGACCTATGGATTCAATTGTAAGGAAGAGTGATGTAATCACTATAAATGTAAATGTTATGAGGAGGGGAAGACCTAAATAGACATGGGACGTTTTAGTAAAAAAAAAAATTCAACTAAGCATATAGTCTTTAATACGACACAGTGGTGAAAAACGATCCATGTAGCCGACCCTACTTGACTGGGACATAAGCCTTAATTTGGTTTGGTTATCATATTCGTTAAAATGCCATGCATGTTTTTTTGAGTGGTTGAAATTTTTTTCTATTTAGATCTGTTCCTTGCAGTGAAAACTGTTTTGTGTAATTGCAATCATTCCATGGGGTAAAAATTACAACTGAACTCTGCCCAATTGAATCAGTTGCATATAAGACTAGTAGATGGAAACTATTTTAGTGTTTGATGATTTAGTGAAGTTACAAGGAAAGAAATTTGTTAATGATTGTTCCTAAGCTTTTTTTTTTTAAAATGTTATTGTTCCTTAATTTTGGTTGGGTTGAATGAATTTTGTTCGATATTGGATTGAATGTTTATAAACAAAAATTGATTGTTTTCAAAAAAAAAAATATTATTATTATTATTATTATTATTATTATTATTATTATTATTATTATTATTATTATTATTATTATTATTATTATTATTATTATTATTATTATTATTATTATTATTATTATTATTATTATTATTATTATTATTATTATTATTATTATTATTATTATTATTATTATTATTATTATTATTATTATTATTATTATTATTATTATTATTATTATTATTATTATTATTATTATTATTATTATTATTATTATTATTATTATTATTATTATTATTATTATTATTATTATTATTATTATTATTATTATTATTATTATTATTATTATTATTATTATTATTATTATTATTATTATTATTTTTTTTTTTTTTTGTGAGCAGGGAAAGCTTTGGTTTCTCCAATTGAGAGATATGCAGTTGTTCCTGATGACAACGTAAGTGTTCTTTCCACAGTTTTCATTGTCTTCATTACTGGTGTTTAAATAGTTGGTTTCTCCGAAAGATTATAATTTGCAACTGTTATCTATTTATTTGTAGGCCAAAAGGATAAATTTTGCCGAGGGGAAGATCTGATTCTAGAAGTAAGGAATTTGCAGCTTGATTTTTGAAATAGGCTCAAAATTGAGATCTTGTTGGAAATTTTTTATTTTTTTATTTTTTGTAAGAGCATTTAAATATTCAATGTGCTGATTGGTGAATTTTAGATTTTATTTTATTATTTTATAGGATTTGGGTGAATTTTCTAATTTAAATATACTTTTATGAACATGTACAGTTTAATTATTCTTTGTAAAATATTGAATTTGATGGTTTGATCAATTTTTATTTTTATTTTCTGTTATGATGTTTTTGTGAATAGAATGTAAATAATCAGCTCTAAGAGAGAGAGACGGCACCACCGTCGGAAAAAATAGAAAATTTTAATATTTTTATTAATTTTGTTATAGGTTTTACTTTTTGCGACGACATTATACTGTCGCAAAAAATAGAAATTTTATTATTTAAAATAAAAATTTTATTATTTTTTAATATTTTTTGCGACGGCATTACACTGTCGTAAAAAATAAAAAATTTCATATTTTTTATACTTTCTGCGACGGCACCACACCGTCGCAAAAAATAGTATTTTTTTTAAAAAGAATACTATTAGCGACGGTATTTTTTGCCGTCTCAAATAACATTTTTAGGGACGGTAAAATAGAGCCGTCGCAAAAAAGTCAAGAAATTTCAAACGTTATTAGTGACTGCACGGTGCCGTCGCAAAAGGTAAAAAATGCCGTCGCAAAACATTAGCGACGGCACTTACCGTCGCAAAAACTCTTTTGCAACCCCTGCAGTTGCGACCCCCCTCTTGCCGTCGCAAAAAGTCATTTTGCTGTCGCAAAAAGTATTAGCGACGACATTAGGAGTATTAGCGACGGTATTTTACCGTCGCAAAAAGTCAATTTTTTTGTAGTGACTTATCTATCTAGAATTTTTTGAGTGAGTGATTATGTGGTAGAAATTAATTTGTAGTGTAAGGTTCATGTAGGATTCATGTAAGGTGTGGTGGAGATTATTTTTTAGATAATTTCTGGATTGATAAAGGAAGGTATTACTCCAAATAAAAAGGTAAATGCTTAGGTTCCTTAGAATGAAAATGGTAGAAAATGAAGGAAAGCGAAAAAAAAAAAAAAAAAATTCTAAATTTATTTAGCATGAAAGTGGTGAAAGTTACAAGAAAGTTAATTTTCTTGTACAACTCATAATAGTATGGTAACTAAGCTTGTAATTCTTGCAAAAAAAAAAAAAAAAAAAAAAAAACAATACAAGATAGTTTAAATTTGTTGTAAAAGTAGTTACTTATAATTAGGATTCTTATTTTCTTGCAAATTTTCATCCTAATCTTCATACAAGAATTTTTTTTTTTTTTTTTGCTTCACTTTATACCATTTTCATTTTTCATCATTTATTTCTTTCTAATCAAACTGGGCTTTATAAATATTAAAAAAAAAAATCAAAGTTTGACCTTTTAATAAAATAAATCTTTAGTTTTTTTTATTTTTAACATTTTATTTATTTTCAATATAAACCATTTTCCCACTTTCGTTAAATAAAGTTGATGGAAAAACGAGTATTTAATTATTAAACTCAAAGAAAAAAATATTTAGATATTTTATGTACACCAATATTAAGTTTAATAACTAAAATATTATTATTTTTTTACTGATTTTACTTAATGAAAATGGATAAATAATTTAAATTAAAAACAAATCAATTGGCTTTATTGCAGTTGATTTGGACCTGTCTCGAGTTTTTGGTCACAGAGAATTGTCTTGCTATCTACTCTGGCTGAAGTTTCAATAGGTCTGAGAAAAGTGGTAGAAATTTATATGATTCGCTCCAATTGAGGGAAAAATTTAATATCGAATCAAAATATAAAATTTCACCAAAAAAAATAAAAAATAAAAAAATAAATGAAGAAAATTGGTGATTGCTTTTATAAATGTATTATTTTATTTTAGCATCAATGGCTTACTTTTTAACACTTGTATAATCAAAATATAAAATCATTTTGCTATGATAATTTCTTTTCAATTCGGTACCAAAAACTGAAATTCAGTTGATCTCAAAGCTTGGCTCACCAATTTTTTAATATTTACAAAAAATGATTTCATATCATATTACAATCTTTTAGGAAGAGATTAATATGGACTTCCTCGTTAAAAAGAGAATTATTTGTAGAGCAATACTAGTTCTGTTACACAAAATAAATAAATAAATAAATAAATAACTAAATAAAAAAGAAACACACACACACACACACACAATACATATGTATAAATAAGATTTTGGGAAATTTATTGATGGATCCATTTTTGAAAAATCTTGTCGGCCCATAGACATTATGTCTCCAATTTGTGATTGGCTTTTATTCTTTGTATGTCGATGTTAGCATTGAATCGATAAGCACCGAGGTCATAAAACCTTTGAGCTTGGTTCCAAAATGTGTGTATCCTTCTTCATCCTCGTATAAAACATTTATCACTCGTGCAAGATTGACTACTCGCAACAAGAGTGTCACGCCCCACTTTTTATTTCTCGGAGCCATTACCAAATTCTTTAACTTAATTCAATTTCAGAGATAACATGCGGAAATAAACTCATACATTCAATCCGTAGAAGTGATTAACAATACTCTCATTTGTATGCAAAGTAAATATTACATGAACTAACTTAATAAATTGCCCTTGGGCTTACATCATTCAAAGTACAGGAAGAAGGGTGTAACCCTTTACAACAATGGCATTCCGCCAACATAACTGAGGCCCCGTGGCCAACAAATAAGAAGATCCAAATCTTGTAGCACACCCTGCTAAACACCTGAAAAGATTCAACAACGTGGGATGAACATATAGTCCAGTTGGGAACTCAACATGCTCCTTAACAATAACAACATTACAGATAGCTATGATCATGAACACCCATTCTCATACTAGAATAATAATGTGACTGTTTATACAAAAAATATATATAACTATATATATATGAACTTTTCTTGAAAACAACCATTTAATTCACCGCTATAAGCGATTCATCCTTCCTTTTTCCTTTCATTGACCCCCGTTCCTAATCTTTTATAACATTAACAACTACTTAGAAAAAAAAATAGATTCACTAAGCCCATTACTCTTCCACTTGTCACACATACAACAGATATGCCTTTTCAAAACATATTTGGCATTTCAATGCAATTCCAATTATTTCATAGTTATCCATGCACACCTCTATAAAAAAAAATAACAACTCAACTACATACATAAAATCAATCGATGAGTCAACTCGTCCCTCCAACACTGTAACAAATACAATCCACAATGTTTCCAGATACACTGAAACAATAACAAAACAACACTGCACTACTAGCTATATGCGTAGTAAGCCAAAGATACACTTCTCACCACAATCTACCAGTTCACCAGGCGCTAGCTGGAAGGGTATGGTACCTTAGATTATTAGCGTGTCAGTTCTCCAGGCGCTAGCTGGAAGGGTATGATACCTCTGATTATAAGCGCTGAACACATAGGTGTGTGGAGTCCATCCCCTATCTTCTCACACACACTGGAGTACAACCCCTCTCTTCTCCCCAACCAGTATACAAAAATAATGTAATTCAGCATTTCATTACATATGATGTACAATCAACAATGGTGTATTACATATACGGCAATTCAACACAACCACGTCATCCTCCACCGATGACCAAGGACAAAACCTCTAGATGCAAATATTTAGTACACCTATTAAAGACTCAATTACTATGAGATCACAAACCCGACAACAACATTAACATGGTAGTTCAAGATACAATTCCACACATGTGTGTGTTCAACACTCATGAAACAACAATCCAATTTTCATACGTATTTCAAAACACTTTTCCCATTTCACAAAACAAGTTCCACTTCCCTCTTTGTTTTAACAAAACCAACTCCGTCTCTTTAGTTGTCACCAAAACCAAACCCATCCCTTTTGTTTTACAAAAACCCAATTTCTACCAATAAGGAAGCCATAACTCACATTAGTCCACTACATACATTCCAACCCATTCCAAAGCCAAAGTTAACAACTTAGGCATTAACGCCTTCACCCAACTCACATCAACAATAGAGAGTTACAATTTAGGTTCATTATTCTCCATTTTAATTTATCAATCAAAATATGATTTAGGCCTTTTTCCTTTATCAACTACAACATGCTAATTTACACTCCAATTAGCCCAAAACAACCCTCAATGATAACATAACCATTTTCAAATACCCAACCCTAGGTTCCTTCTCATGATTTCAAACAAATCCAACATGGATATGATTTTTATGCAATACAAAATTACCACATGTCTATCTATAGACGGAGTATTGAAAAAGAACAAAGAAATCCCTACCTCAAATGGAGAACTCAAATGGAGAAGATGACCCGAAATCAAAGTGCTCCAAATCCCAAATTTCTTGGATCACAACGAAGCCCTCGACGATCAACGCACTTCTTACAAAGGCCCAAGATGAGGAAAACAGTCTAGCTAGATCAATCCTAAGAGAGAAGTTAGGTTTTAGAGTGAGGTGCTCTCCCATGGAGGTTTTGAAAAAAAAAAGAGAGAGAAAGGAAATCAAAAAGTCATTCAAAAGTGATTTCACGGACTGATATAATAACCGGTCCGCTCGAGCGTACAACACCCCGCTCGAGCGTCAGACACAGGTTCACGCTCGAGCGTCCAAAGATCCGCTCGAGCGGCGAATGCACTCTCCCAGAACCTTCTGCAGACATCCAAAATGCTGAGAGAAGGAAATTCACGCTCGAGCGTCCAAACTTCCGCTCGAGCGTAAAGGCAACAACAAAAGCCCGCTCGAGCGTCAAACCGCCGCTCGAGCGGAGAGACCAAAACCTGGGCAAAAATTTCTAAGTTTTAAAACACAACCAACTTATTCCCAACCTGCCCAACACGACCCAAAACTCTAACACAAAGAGTAAATGATAGAAATGAGGATAAAACTACAACGAATCTACGGAACCGAGTCCGGATTACAGTTAAACAATAAGAGGGAATACCAGGATCGCTATAAAGAGAGGCATTGGGGCTGCTGTTGGGCAGAGGCACTCTTGATTTATGTCCTTCCATGCATTAGTAACCCGCTTTTGCAATTCAACAAGTGCTTCTTCCTTTGATGCACCATATTGTTTCATGTAACATTCGACAGCAGAGACTACATGACCTCTTTTT